GGAGTGATCTCCGACGAGACCTACAGCCCCTCGGACAGCGTGCTGCCCACTCCTGTAGCAGAGGACGGCGTGGAGCTTCCTTCAGCTCGCCATCTCAACGGCGCACCCTGCAGCATCGACGAGGAGAAGGAGTTGGAGGCGAGGGCTCTGAAGGAGGGGCAGGGGGGGGAGTTCAGGCCCGGCAGGAAAGCACCGCGCACGGTCCGTAGCAGGCCTTCACAAGGCGCTGATGTAGAGGATCTTAACAAGTTCGTGTTAAGCGTGCTGCGCCTGTTCCTGGTCACCATCGGACTGCTGTTCGCCCTGTTGCTGCTGCTCATCATGCTGACCGAGTCCGACCTGGACATAGCCTTCCTGAGGGACATCCGCAAGACACCAGAGTTCCAGCAGTTTCACTTTGAGTATTTCTGTCCTCTCCGGCGCTGGTTCGCCTGTAAGCTACGATGGATGGGCGGTTTTCTTGTTAGCAAATGAGGTGAAGTGACGGAGGAGAGTCCATGACTTAACACAGACCTCCGGGGACAGAGACGGGGCAGTACAGGAGAAAATAAGAGGAATGCGACAGCTTTGTTTATATCAGCTCTGCTTCTCCCAGGAAGGAGTTCCAGTCACAAGCCACAAACTGCCGTGATTATAATGTATGACTATCACTACATACGTAGGAAAAAAAAAAAATCACACTTTATTTTAGAAATCCAGGTCATTTTAAGGTATTTTATTTTTACACAAAGTCACAAAAGCAGGGTGAATCAAAGCTTTGATCAAAGTCGTTCAGGCTTCGCTTGTTCAGCCAGAGATAGTTGCCTTTATTTTTCTATTAATTTATACTTCATATCATTACTGTGAGAGAGGATGACCTGAGAGTTAAGGAATGGTTATGAAGAGAGATTAAACAAAATAATAGAACAAAACAGGTGATTAGTTTGATCAAACCAATAATGACCTGAATGATAAACAACCACCTCGATAATTATTGGTAATCCTTCATAAAAATGTGCAAAAAGCCTTGAATCTTTCACTGCATTAGCATAATTTCATACATGATCAGACGTTTGATCGAGTTTTAATTCACTTCTTTAGCAGTGTAAAACAAATTCATTTGTAATATGTACTTGGTTTTATTTTTGATTTTTTGCAAAATCAGCCGTGCCAAACTTATTGTCAATTCTCATAATCCCTACAAAATATAAATGTAATAGAAGCATTTTTAGATTTTTTTTATTTTTTATTTTGGTTAGTGTTTTGGAAACTATAACTTATAATCAATAGTTTCCGGGTCCTCAAATTAAAATGATTTTCTAACGTATTCGGTGTGAAATTATGCTACTTAAACAAAAGATAAATTTGTTTCAGGGCTTTTTGTGCATTTTTACCAACAGTCCCCATAAAAGTTGAAGGTCGTGTTTAGGCTGCCAGTAGAAGACATGTGCAAGGGTGAGAAACATCATAAAGTGATTAATTAAACAAGTTTTGAACCAGATAATCTGTTTATACTCAGTTAAAACAACTACATACAGTTATTCATCATCACTTTATGATTCAGAGTGATGGGGGTGCTACCCTGTGAGCTGGTTTGAACAATGTTTGTCAGTTTAACTGTGTCCATGTTCAGGTGTTCGTCAGGTGTTCTCACATGATCATTTTAGTCCAAACAGTACTGGACCATCAAAGTCTACAAAATAAAATAAGCCTTTCGTAAGAATACATACAAGATATCCAAGTTATAAGTTTACTGCTTATTAAATAGGAGCCAAATAACACAATCAGTTTCCGTGTGAAGAGTTGGTGCCACTTTGCTGTAGTTTGAAGGAAAAACTAATGTTGTGGTAGTCAAGATTTTTTGGTTAGTTCTCCTCTCAAAATCTGTAGAAAGTTCATCTTGATGTGCAATAATGTTACAAATCCAAAATACTTTCTACCTAAGGAAATTTGACTTTGTAAAATTTGAAAACTTTGTGCTATTTTCCCACAGTGTTAAGAGATAGTTTTATGTCAGAACCCTACAGAAGTGAGTCATTTAAGTTTGTGTTACCCTGCTGTTCCTAAAATCATGCATTCATTTTAAGGTTTAGTAGATTTAAATCGTGTTTATTTTTGTACAAATTGCCGTCAGTTTAACCTATGGACGCCTCCTCACAGTGGCTGTGACATGTTTTTACAACAAAAAACGTTTTTAAGGCACTCATTAGAAAGCAGTCATTGTTTATATCTAACACAGCGTTGTTCATCGCCACGCCTACCAAAGAAACCTCTGTTGTTTCACAGCCTGTTTGCATCAACAGATGAACGCTCTTCTAGTCTGCTGACCATCTTCAGCCTTATTACTCTAATTTTTTGCAAGCAAACCTAAAATGTGTCTTTATTTTCCAAAAAACAAACAAACAAAAAAAAACATCAACTCCAAAAGTCAGTGTTCACAGTCAAGTGTTTGTCCTCAGGATGAAAAAAAAAACAAAGCAAAACAAATGCTGCGTGCCAGTGAAGTGTATTAGCAGATGTGGAACATTATGCTTTAAAAAGAGACGCGATATGATTTTATTGTTTGAGAAATTCTAGATATAGACAGGTAAATAGGATCGATGGTTACTGTGTAATTTACATTTTTTCCAAATGAAAAATCAACCTTTCCTAGGGACAGAGATATGAATTTTATTGCTTTTACATGGTTAAAAAATATATATATTAACAAATTGCTGCTTTTTACTTTGTAGCTCTAGAGAGTTTCAGTAACATACTTACAGTGATATTTGTGCAGTTGAAACCATGTTTACATACACTAAATAAAAACAAAAAATGACTTTTCATTTTGTCTCCATGTAACATGCAGTCAGATGAAAACCTAAAGCTCCTGTGTGGATCTTCTCTGAAGCTGATCAGTGTTAATATCCACAGTGAAACAAGTCATGCACCACGATGGACTGAAAGGCCACTCTGCAAGGGAAAAGACCTTACTCAAAAAGCAACATTAGAGAGCTAGTTTGGATCTTGCAAATATCCATATTTGTATAAAAAAATGTCCTGTGATGAAACTGAAATTGAACCGTTTGGCCATAATGACAATTGTTCCCACCGGAGGAAAAACAAAGCCAATGTTTGAGAATTACAGATCGACTCAGTAGCTCTAATTATGTCAGGAGGAATGGGCCAAAATCCCAGCAAGCTGCTTACAGCTCGTGGAAAACATGTCAATTAGTTTAAAAGAAATGCAACCACATTTTAAGGTTCTTCTGACTGTGAAGAAAGTTAAAGTGAGGAAATGATCTCATTCTGGCCTTTAGGTCAGCAAAACTAACCTAAATAGGAAAGATTTATTCTGTTTTTTTTGTTTCTTTTTTTTTTTTTACACAGTCCATGTATACATCTGGTTTCAACTGCACATTTCAGTAGGCTACTCATATTTAAGCTTTAATTCAGTTTGAACCAAACAGGATTATAAAAACAAAGAAATGGCCAATCAAGCAGGAACATTTGCTTTTTGCTTACATTTGTGTTTATGTGTAATAAAATGTGCTAAATCAGGGGTGCCCAAGTCTAGTCCTCTAGTCAAGCAAATTGTGTTGGAGAAAGAATGCATTTAAAAGTAAGCGACTAAATTTGGACACCCCTGTCCTATAACAAAACAGGACTCTAAATGTTTCAGATTCTGTAGTAAAAATATCCGACTCGTTAAATGCAAATATTTGCCTTCAAGGCTTGCTAAACATTTACGGTGCATCAAAGAATACTGTAGAGGCATGTTTGGAACAGATTTTGGTCCGTGTTCTTGGAAAAACCTTTTAACGTAAAATCCACTTTTGTTCTTTGTCTTCTCTATAAATCGGATTCATTTATGCAATTTGATTAAATGCAAAATGTTTTTTTGTGAAAGTCTGTTTTCAAGAGTTCAAAAGGAGAACCCATTGAATTCTCACTTGCCTTTAGTACAAAATTTATATATTTTATTGCAAAAAAAAAAAAAAAAAAAGAAAATACTCTGTGTCCACTTGTACAATGCAGTTTGATTTGTCCAGGAAGTTAAAATGGATAACTGAATGTTTCAAACTTGAGCTGGCACATTACCTGCAGAATCAGTTCAGCTATCATGCTACTAGCTTTCTTCTTACTAAAACATGTCGACAGGATTTAGGTGTCAAACACGTTCCTACTGTAATCTTTCTTCTTGTATTGAAGTCCAGCACACGCCAATGTCTCTGTAAGCATTATGTTCTGCATTCAGTTCCTCTAAACAAGATTGCTTTCTCCTATTATTGACTGAAGACTAGTGTAATCTGTGAATAAACAATATTCATACTTTAAATCTCGTAGTTGATTTAAATGCAGTTTAAATTTTACTAATAAAACATTCAAGAACTGAATAAAAACATTGATTACCGACTTATAATAAATAATTCAGGTCAACCACATAATATTTTTGTTTAAAATTTGTCAAGCTGCTGCACCCTTGAAGTGACACAGAATTTGGGAATAAAATTATCTTCAGAAGTTATGTTCACTGCATAACTTTATTGCTTTTATGTAAACATCACAAAGATATAAACATTAAAAAACAAAACAGTTCCAGAAAAAGCAGCTGACTTACTGCATTTTCAAACTTTCGTAACTTAAAAAAAAAAAAAAAAAAAAAGTGCAACATTTTTTGTTTAAATATGCTGAAGTACATGGTGGTCTTGTTCAAAGTAACAAATAAACCACAATAGTCACATTTCTGTAAAACTAAGAAGGCATGTGGTCAAATCTCCCTCCAAATTAGCCTTAAATCAAAAAGACAGGTTTCAAAGAATGAGGAAGTCATCTTCTTTATAGAGGATACAACATTAAAAAAAGTTCTGAAGAGAACAATAAAGGAATTAATATATTAACACCAATAATCCATGTATGAGATGCATAGAAGCAGGACACAGGCAGTTGCATGGGCAACTCGGTGAACTGTGAACAAAAGGGCCCTGAGAAGTCAGACTATGAAAGTCTGAGCAACAATCTTAAAAAAAAAAAAAAAAAAAAAAAAGGTGCAACACATCTGGAATGGACCAAGTACAGAATATGATAGATACCATTTGTTAAATTGGCCCATTTTAAGACTCTTCTAATTATTTTTGGCAGCATCTTTCCTACAATACTCATCTCACCCAGGGATCATGGCTGAAAACTCACTGGCCTTCGTTCCAGCTGTGGAAGACGTGCATGCGTCCTGATGAATTTCCCCCCAGCAGAGCATTTCTTGTGGGATGAAAGGCGGTGACGGACAGCACCGTGCCAAGGTTCTCATCCATGAAGGAGTGCAGCAATCGCCCGCTTTCGTGGAACACCTCCACCCGCCGGGGTCTTTTCATACTTCCTACCACAAAGCAGTCCTCCTGCTTGGGGTCCCACACTGCCGAGAGCTTCGACAGCCAGCGGCCCGTCTGCATGTCATGACTGCAAATCCAAGAGGTAGAAACATGCTGCATAGTTAGATCAGGACCCAACATGAAGTACAGGAAAATATTTAAAATGCAAATAAATCCTGAACATACCTGATGGATTTAATCAAGGGAGTTTCAGCAGTCAACGAAGATGTGTCGTATATCCTATAAATTTAATAAGAACACAATAATATAAAAGACAGTTTCTGGAATATTTTAAGTATTTATACCCCTTAAACGTCTTCATTTTCCTGGCATGTTACAACCCACAGCCCCAATGTATTTTATTGTTTGAGAGATTTTTCCGTCATCAGACCAAATTAAAATGTTAAGTAGAAAGAAAATGTTACGCTGCCTTCAGTTTTAAAGAAATATAACCCAGAAAATCAGAGTATCCAATAGCCTTGACAAGTTCTGAATTATTAAAGTTCAACAGTGTGGTAAATAATTTCTGCATATTGTACAGTTGTTCTGTGAAGGCCTCAGAAATTTGACATCAATTAGCATAAAGACCAAGTGACAAACCAAACATTTCAGTGGCAAAGACTAAACTAGGGTAGGCTCCACAAAAAATAAGTTTTCACCACCTCAGAGAAAACATACACTACACATTACCTTGAACACAGCCGCTCTATGTTGGAGCACGGTGGTGGCAGAATCAGTCAAGACTTAACTGCTTTTCGCAGACATTCTCCATTCAATCAGACTGAGTTTGAACCATCAGGTAAAACAAAAAAAAAAAAAAAACAATAAGTAAAAGCTCCACTCTCTAAATGTGGAATGCCCAACCCAAAAGACATAAACATGTGATTGCAGTAAAACGTGGCTCTACAAACTAGTAGCTTTCCAGATTTTTTACATTTGAAAAGCAGATATTCTTTTTCTTCCACATTACAAATGTGCTCCAAATTGTGTCGGTCCATCACATAAAACCCAATAAAATTCATTGAGGTTTGTGGTTGTAACAGAAGATGTGAAAACCCTCAGTGCTTTAACAGCTTGTTTGCTTCACCTTATGTGGTTGTCCAGACATGAGGTGAGAACTCGGTTTCCAGTGCAAGGTGAGAAATAAGCACTGGTGATGGTTAGAGCGTGCCCATTCAGGTGAGCCACTGCCTTGCTTTGGGTCTTCAAGTATCTGCAGTCATAGATACCTACTGTCCTGTAGACAAAAAAAAAAAAAGTTTAAAAAGAAAACAATCTGATCATGTGAAAAAGCAAAATGGAAACTCAAAACGATGGAAGAAATCAGTGATACAATAATTACCTGCTTTCTGCTGCAACAAAGTACTGCATCTGGAGAGGATGGACGTCTACACAGCGAACAGCCTTGGTGTTTAGGGAGTGAAGAGACTCATGGGAGTTTCTTCAAGGACAATGAAGTTGTTACAAAGACGATTTACTGAGAAAAATTACAATGTTCAAGAGTAAAACAGTAAATAAAAAAAGAGTAACAAACATGAACACTTATTGTGAACAGTGAAGCCTTACCCTGGAGTTCGCCTGTCGACGATGGCAACTTCTCCAAACCAGTTCCCTACCAGAAGGGTTGAGCAGTCATGTGACATGAAGGCAAACGTTTTCAGGCCATCATCAATGTCATACACCTGGAACAAAAAAAACCTTTCACATAAGGTCTGAATATCTTAGCAACAGAAGGAGGGTAGAGTTACCAGAGGTATGGATAACTTCAGAATCAACATTATATTTTTGAACAAATGTGCTTGACGGTTTATAACTGTACGTACATCATCAAATACGGCCTTCTCTACATCCATGCAGCGCAAGGATCCGTCGTAGCTGGCGCTCAGCAGCTGGTTAGGATGACACCTGGAGAACGCCATGCTGCCCACCGGTCTAGAGTGGGGCTCAAAGAGCAGAACACCGTCATCGCCCCATTCAGCACCCTGATGCACAGAAAAAATGAATAATTACATCAAACATGTATGAAGAAAATTGTTTAAATATTGGCCTGGAAATAAAGAGAGTAGAGTGTGGGTGGGATTATGCTGAAGACGTACAGTATGAGCTGAGACTGCATGAATGTGTCAAAAAGGACACACACATCTTTATTTTGCTTGTAGAAGGAAACCCAGAAGGTTTGACCTAAGTCAGAGTTCAAAGGCAATGCTACACTGAAGAATAAACTTCTGGATTTGAAGGTAAGAAATGCTTCACATTTTCCTTCTCTTGTTATTGTGGCACTTAGCAAATAGATAAAAATGTTGTAATTCTAACTGATCCAAAAAAGCAAGAGAAGTTTGATCTGATTAAACTTCAAGCAGTGAGAAAAAAAATCTTAATTCAGTGTATGTGAACTACATGAAGTTAAAATATCTTTAAAAAAAAACATTGTCACGAGAATACTAAATCAAGATTTAATAACAATTGCATCCCTCTGCTATGCTTCCCGTGAAAGTGAATTATAGATCATTTCAAGGTCAGAGGGAGTTTGAAATATGCACACATATTTAATAAATTAAGCCTGAAAGATATCTCCCAAAGCAGCAGAACAGTTTCTAAAAAGTAAAAATAAAAAAAATCTGTTGATCCACGGTAGAGAGTGGCTTATGATCGTTTTAAAATAATTAAATAAATTAATGCATTCTCTTAAAGTGCTAAAAAAAAAAAAAAAAAAAAAAAAAAAAAAAAAAAAAAAAACAAGCCAA